TAATTTGGTTGTAAGGAATATAAAAAAATATTTCCAACTGATATGTGATTTTAAAAATATCTTTGTTAGAAAGGGAAATATGTGTATAATTCCATATACAGCAAAATTATAAATGATCCCATATTAATACACGTCGTTTGATTTTGTTCTCTTCACAGAAAAGTATACTATTAGGGCAGACGCAACATTGTATTGGTCATTTTTTTCTTATTATTTGTATAATTGAAGAATTTCATCAAATGAAGGACCTGTCTGCGATTTTTATAATGCCTAATGATTGTGTACACCTGTTCTAAAACAAAATTGGATGAAATACGAACTAAAACTGTATGCATGGTAACTTTTCTTTGATAAACGCAAGGATTTCATCAACTGATATCTATCTAAAAGCGCTGTTAATGCATGGTGATTTTCTGTTTAAGAATCTCTTTCGGAAAATCTTGAAAAATTATCAATAAGAAAGGTAAGTTATGAGATGCATTGCAAGGTACGTTGCGTATGACCTTAATGTTCAATAAAACACGTGATAAAGGAAAAAAAGTTTGAAATTTGTGTTCATTCACAAATAGCAAATTCACAGAAAAAATGAATTTGAATTACAAACACGGATTTCAAAATTTCATAAAAATCTTTACAAGTATTACAACTATGCATAGCGAGATCTATTAAATTATCTACTAAGCCCTCGCCAAAAATATTTAGCAGTAAAACAGAATTATCAAGTTAAGGACATGCATTGGGATGCCAACAATTTAATTTTTTTCTCTCATCACTTTGCATCAGTGTATGAACTATGATGAAAGGCATATGGGAGGTCAAGGTAAAAAAATGTTGATACAATTGAGAAGCTCTCATAATAATGTATCAGAGTAGGAACTGTGATGAATAATGTCTAGATTTTTTTAAAACTGATTTAAACACCGAATGGGGCACATGGCGGATGTGATGGTCGACAGGGGATGCTCACTCTTCCATGGCACCTGATCCAACCTCTGTTTTTAGAGGTCTGCGTTTGCTCTGCTCCCGACTTGTAAAGTTTCAATGGACTTTTGAGCTTGGTTACTGTTCGTTATCTCCATATTTCATTAAGTCAAGATGTATGAAAGGTAAAGATAATTTTGACAAAGTTGACTTGCTCTAAACAATATATATTAGTGTATGAACTTTGATGCAAATTCATTCTTTGAACTGTTTCTTTGAAACTAAGCAAAACATAAAGTTGGAGAGAAAGACGGGATAAGAGAAAGACGGAAGGACGGAAGATCGGCATGAGAAATATTTCATATATCTACCCCAGCTTTATACAAAGGGAATAAAAATTGATTTGTAGTCTAAAGTGTATTGTAAGTTATTGGTCAACCATTGTATTTTCTAACAGAAACCTTTATCCGTCTACAATGAATGCATGTAGATGTTAGGACTATGTAAGTCTCCTTAATCCATATGCATATTTTTTCAAAAATTAGGTCAATCTTCTGCTTAAAAACAGAATCATTTGATAAGTTCAACAGTGTATTTTAATATCTCGTCCAAATGTCCGTTTGGTTTAGTTTCTTTCCAGCTAAATCTAATAAAAAGCATTCAAGTCAGATACAAACCAAATTTTATACAATTGCGCAGGCGGTCTGTACATTTAAAAGAAAACTTTATCATTTTCAATGTGAACAATTGACGTTTTATTGCTTTTAATTGACAGATATTCAAAGAATATCGTTTCCTACAAAAGAAATGAAATAGACAAAAGATACAAAATGAATTATATGCTTTTATTTATTTTAATTCTCATGTTGGATTTGCGATAGAAGCTCACAATGTTTCGAAAGTGCCCTCCTAAAGAACATTATATACATTATTGAGCCACGAAAGACTGAAACACAATTCATTTGTGAGTAAATTGTTTAAATAGCATATTTAAATATTATCTCCCCGATGTTTTATCTCAATGTATCTAGGAAAAATAACCACTGTTATTAGATGGTTTTGAGCGTGCAGTTAACCTCTGATAACATTAAAAGTATTACTCTTTGAGCCGGACTTTGAAAAAGTAGTTTATTTACACTGATTTTGAATATAGCACATTGTTAGGATTAACCACCCTTTGCACAGCTGGCTCCTGGAATAAACTTAGTATTATAAACTCGTAAAGGATTGACAATCTACATGTATTACATTAAAAGTTAACATCTAATAATTTAAGCTTATCTATAATTAAGTTTAAATTATAACTATAATTAATTTAAACTTTTTATGTAATACTTACTTAATGTAATTCTTATTATAATCGACTCAAAAGGCAACTGACTCTGACATCAATCATGATGTAGAGCAACCAATGTGGAGAACTTTCTTGTATTATCACTTTTAATGTCACAGGGTGTATTCGAGGGGACGGTATTTTCTTCAAGCATACTACAGTGTATTTCAAATATTCCTTATTAATTGAGCCTTATTCCAGATAACAAAAATATACTACTTCCAATTGCAATTTTATGTCCATTTGCAAGATAATTCGATAATTGCCATTCAACTCGAAATGTCCGACACATCTGTTTCATATTTGGATGTTTTATTTGAGAAAGACATTGATGACAAACTAACAACTAATTAAATTTATGATAAACCAGATGACTTCAACTTTTCCATCGTAAAATTTCCCTTTTTAGTCTCCTACCGGTGAAATCTGAAGGAACTGTAGACTTCCTTCATAAATGTCTGTCTGTCCCAATTGGTTATCCGCACTTAATTTTCTAAACGATAGCAGGTATTGAGCTGATTTTTGGTATGTGAGTGTACCTTGTAAGTTACAGATCAAGTTTGAATTTTGTTCCGTTTCAAATAATTTAAGCGGAATTAAGCGGAATTATGGCCTCTGTAATTTCAAAGAGAAACCAGATTACACTTGCTGGTAGGGAACTAGTATTGCTTATGCAATATTTTCATGATGCTTGTTTATGAAACAATATACCATTATCACCTGTATATAGGGTTTATGTCACTCAATTGATTCGATACACAAGAGCATGTTCTACGTAAAAAAATTTCTAAAACGAGACAGGCTACTGAAAAATAAGTTGATGATACAAGGATATCAACATTTGGCAAATTTGGCAAATTCAATGGTCGATACAATGATCCTGTTTGCAAATACTATCTGTTGTTAGATCAAATGTTGACTGATTCTTTCATACACATTGTTAGGCCATTACTTTCCAATTGAATTGTCTATGTATTTTTCCATGGCACACAGCAGATGTGACCGATCGACAGGGTATGCTCAAACATTCATGACTCCTGATCCCACCTCTGTTTTCAGAGGTCTGTGTTTGCATTGTTGAATTGGAACTTCTGGGCATGATTACTGTTAGATATCTTCACATTTCGTAGTGAATTTGTAGTGAATTTGCGTCTTTTTAACTAATGAAAAGTATTGAGTTTTTAAACATGTAAAGATTGATTGATGTTGCTTTACGTCCCGTTCGAGAATTTTTCACTCATAAAGACGTCACCATATACCGACCGATGAAGGGCTTAAAATTTAGACCTTTACTCGGCATCCAGGGCCTTTGAGCAGTGAGGGTTCTTTATCGTGCCAACGCCTACAGTGACACAGGGCCTCGGTTTTTAAGGTCTCATCCGAAAGACCCGCAACTTTCACTTCAAAGTGCCGAGCGCTTGGCAAAGGAACAGATGCTAAATATTTTTTATCGACTTAAGTTAGTCGCCCGTAGGAAGCTGGATTTTTTCGGAGGTTGCCCCCATCCCCCATTACTTTCAAAAACGTTGCTACGGACCTGTGGCAAACTATTTGGATTGCTGTAGATAAGATTTTGTGATGTCGTTTAGGAAATAAATGCATTTAGTCTTAAATCGTTTTATGGACAATATTAGAAACTACCGCCACTACGCTTTATAAAATATTCCTGAAAACGAATTACATATTGAATACAATTCTTGCACTTTTAAAAGTAGTACGATTAATTATATATATTCTATGTTCTATATGAATTTTAGGTAAAATAATTAAAACTATTTTTTTTTTTACACAAGTGCAATTTCGCGATAAAGCCACAATATGCATGTGTATGTATTTTATTTTCTAGTACATGTATTTTACTTAACAGAAGTTGTTGAAAGTCGATAGCCTACATCCTATGTCAGTATAGGACATTTATTACACTGCTTAGTTAATTTACTTTCTACAGCTTGAGTATCTCTGAAGTTTTGTCAGTGTATACTTGTTTTATTCCCCATTATGAAATAAACGGATATAATAACGAATCAAAATTGTTGGTTTCACTTTACTATAAGCTTGTTTTACTATATATTCTGAAGTTTTAAATTTTGTTCTTTCAGAATTTCTGTAATTTTGCCTAAGAAGAAGAATGCAATTGTGTGCCAAGTATTTTATTTCTATCGAAATAAATCATTTTTAAATATTTAGCAAATCTTTACGATAGTTTAATCGCCCAATGAAACTGATTAATTTCTAAGATAATAAGGAATTGTACAAGTGCTTGGTACTTTACTGTTTGATAGATTTTGTCTCCAAAATTTCATTTTGCTCATTCATGTAGTTTCCATATGTACTTGCAAAGGGTGGATCCTTTACCATTTCCTTCAGCAAAATTATTTTGTTATTTTATTTTTGTTTATTACTGATTATTTTTAATGTTCATCAATTAGTGTCAGTATCAATTTCAATTATAAATATATAGGGAAATAAATTAAATATACTCTTGCAAATAATTTTCTCAATATAACGTAGCATGTTTGCTCCCACGTATATAGCGCAATAAAGACGATCTATATCTTGAAGTGAATCAGACGCGGCAGGAGATAGATCTACATTTTTTAAGCTCTGGGATTTTAAAAAAAATCTGCCTTCTTATTTGATTTTACAGTTTGCATTCATTATACTTATGGTGATTTTCATCATGTAATCTTGCTATTTATGAAAACATATTTCATTAGAAAATCGTAGCTTCGAGTAGGAGTACATAGAAGGATTATAAGTGCAGACATAATTAAATGTATAGGAGTGCATCGATTTTTTTCTTTTTCTCTCTTTTCGGACCAAGGATGAAAATTAAAAGCTCCATCAATTTATATTTACCTGTGCGGACATCTAATGCTTTTGACATACAAGTAAATGAATGCCGTTAATGTGTTCGTCTGTGAATTAACATAGTTGTACTTTCTTTTTTTCTCTTTTCCAGGCTTTCCTGCGTTTTATATGGCCAGAGTATGAACCTTATAGTGCTATTTAGACAAGACATTTGGATTAAGTGCCGAATCAACTAATATTTATTGTATATAAAAGCTTTTTAACCATCCATTAGTTGATAAAGTGACATGTTAATTGTGCATATTACCAAGGATGAAGTAGCGGTGTTTTTATTGTAAAAGTTTAATAGCATGGTTCGAGATGCTACAGTGATATAATAACCTTTAAACCACGGGAGGGATTTGACAAGTATGGATTGGTGCATAGGCTGAGGTTGGAACTAATTGCCGGTCGGGACATATTCCAAAAGACATCGATCAGGGGCCAATAATTAAACACAACTTCATCATCAGAACAGTAAACTGTGAATTGAATTGGAAGCTTTTTAGGAATAAAAATTTTGCTCACAAAAACACAATTGCCTGTATTGTTAAAGAAGCCGAGATTGTATCGGAAAATAGCAAAGATAAGTATCGCACCAGATTCAAGTATTTAATGACGACATAAAAGCGGCCATACAATCAATAGAAGTCTCCGTTTTTACTTTTGTCATTCTTTTCGTCGGACAATGGACAATTATGCACCAAACCTCACGGAACATCGTCCCGAACAAACCTCATGTCGTCATCGTCTTTGAAGTCATAAGGACTATCTGCTTCAAAGGGAAATGATCTTCTTTGGCGACCAGAGGTAACTCTTGTCAAGAGTGAGGGCAAAATAAAATTATTCCTTGTACTTACTTTGGGGATAATTAATGCTATCCTAGGTAAGGTGTTCTTTTTTATATGTTCAATCGGTTCAGCATTGACTTAGAAATTTGAATGCATATTATTCAATAATTTGTTATGACTATAAAGAAATATAATTGTGAGGCATACAGCTACTCTAGTGGAACATATTTTGAAAAACTAGAATCAAACCACCAACTGAACACATATGTGAAACTATGGAAATTTCTGTACATTGAATTAAGTTAAATTCATTATGACGTCAGCAAAGTTTGAAATTTCTAATAACTTCTCGTCCTTCGTTGGATACGATCATACAAAGAAAATGTTTAACACATCGTATGGTAATAACACCAGTACTCCAGATGTCGGCAGGGGGTACGAGGAGCTTATTTTACTAATAATGAATCCTGGACAATCTTACATAGTGCCTATCAACGGGATTGTGTCTATTATTTTTATCTTAGTAACTATTGTTACCAATATTCTCGTCATGCTAGTTCTGCCTCGGAAACACATGCGGTCACCAACTAATATCATACTAGCAGCAATGGCCCTGGCAGACATGCTTACGGGATTGTTTCCTCTACCTATGTTCTTCTATTTCTTTACACTTGGAAATTACGTAGAATATCCGCCATATAATTGGTGTTATGTGTACAAACTATTTACCGAGTACCTGCCAATGATATTCCACACAGCTTCAATATGGCTGACTGTTTTCTTAGCCATTTTAAGATACATTTATGTCTGCCACACTGATGTCGCCCGGAAAGTCTGCACTGTTCCTAATGTCATTAAAGCCACAGTTGGTATATATGTTGTAGCAACTTTAACGCAAACAACACGTTTCTTTGAGTCGGAAACTATTCCATTCTCGTTGCCGTCAAGAAGATCTCCAAACAAAACAATTACAACTTGTCTGTTTCCATACAGACCCTTTGTGGAACAGGACATTAACTTGTACTTTAATCTTATTTATGGATTTAGAGTCATTTTTATCCATTTCATTCCATGCTCCCTTCTGTTAATTTTAAATGCTCTTCTTATCCGGACAATGCGTCAAGCCCAGCTTAGACGAAGACTCTTGTTGCGACAAAATAAGAAAAACGAATCAAAGAAACTCGCTGATAGTAACTGCACTACTCTAATGTTAGTGGCTGTTTTGGGATTATTTCTGCTTGTTGAACTGCCTCTTGGCGTTATTATGATATTGTTCAGCATACAAAATACACTTGAAATACCCATATTTGAAACAAGTAACTTTTTACTTATGACAGCCGTGTCTAACACAGCCATCTTAGTGTCTTATCCACTGAACTTTCTGATTTACTGTGCAATGAGCCGACAGTTTAGGGAAACCTTCAAAAGAATATTTACTTGCAAACCTATGCCTCTGCAAAGAGAATGTTCTCAGTACACGGCTGTACCACAAGAAAATGGGAAAATACATCAAGAACACAATAAAACAAACGTTGTCGAGATTTCTGAATACAAAAAGAATGGATAATGAAAATAATACCATCCTGTCCAGAGCGACTGAAGAATAAATATGCCGTGATATAAAAAGCATAGTGATTGTTCCGATGGTTATTTTAATATAATATTATTATTAAGTATCTTTTTAATGTACCATAAAGATAATGGTAGATCTATTGTCTTTTTGGAAACTACGCTGAAAAAATGTTAATGATATAATATATTGTTTTTTACACAACAGAAATTGTTTATGATAAAAAAAAAATCAAATGTTAACCTTAGTATATGGTCTGCTTTGTTTCATAGTGTTATATGTTGTATAGAAAAAAAAACCCAGAATCATTGACAAGTTACTGATTTAGAAAATGGAATTATCTTTTCATAATGGTACTTATATCGTATCTCATTTTTTTGTATCTTCCTAAACAGACTGAAAACTTCAAGACAAATAAATTGTTTTTTTTTTCCCCATTTTTTAATTTTATTGTATAAAAGCGACATTCAAACGTCTAATAACTTTTCTAAATAATTATCTTGGAAGACATTGATATTCTTAATGGTCGAGATGCATGATTTTTTAAGCATTCCCTAGATTGTATGCAACAGAGTTATTGGTCACCCTTTCGTCGACTTAACGTGAAAATAATTAGGGTTCAACGCCTGATAGTATTGTACTACGGCTAGCAATCACGTATTATTACCAGATATAAATTTGGCGGGCTTTCGTTCGTTTTAAAAGAAGCTATTCAATAAGGCACAAATAAGATATCCGGAGAGACTAGAAAATCAATTTTGATGAGGTATTAACTATGAATGGCCCTTCTAATGATAATTAACTATTATATTCATTCGTAATTATTGAAAATGTTGTAATCAAGTCCAAATATATTCTTGTTTTTATGTCCTTCTTGATGTTATCTATTTTAATTCCGAGCGAAACAAAAAACAAATAACCAGACAAATACTGATCAATTCAAAATGTACTCTTTAGCTTGTACCTCATTTATTGGCGTTACGGTAATAAAAAAAAAATAAAATGACATACTTATCCGAGTTTTGAAGGAGATTCCATGTTCTCCTTCATCAAGTGTCACTCTGCATCAGATCGCTGAGTCCCAATGACCTTTACATGGCCCAACTAGGAACTGATTCTCTCTCGAGATATTATAGCATTATTAAGAAGAGGGGAATATGTTACTGAGGAGGAACTGTCGCCGTTCTAGACACGACGTGTTTAACAGAATGGATTCAATTGCAATTGCTTGGAAAGTTTCCATATCTCTCCAGTAAAATATCACTTTTTTAAAGACAAAAATAGATCGTTACCCTCTTTCTACTTTCGAAAAAACACACGTACTGTCTGTAAGAATGATTCTTATGTATGATCATACACATCCAGCTTTCTCTACCTGTATATGACAGTACTTTCATTTTCAAAGTTATATTTTATAGAATCAACTGAATTTAAATAAATAAAATAAATACAAATTTATCAGGGAAACTTTATTATATAATTAGGACATAAAGATAATTTTTAATCGATTTTCATATAATTACATTAGAAAATAATGAACGTCCATTAAAAAAAAAAAAAAAAAAAAAGTACCATCATCACATAATAACATTTATTTTAAATATAAGCCAAGAATTGATAATTTAAGTATGATTTTATACTTTACTTTCCAAACAACCATTGTTTCTGTAATATTCTGTAAACATTATGTAGAACAATGATTTTTGAGACTTAAAGAACAAGTGAAAGTTATTGTGTTTGTTTATCTTAAATGAAAAAATAATCGTCTCTAGTGTTATTTGTATAAGGTATCCATTATTAATATTAATATATTTTTGTTTTATAAACTTAACGAATAGCTTTGCTAGAAATTCTCCATAATTATTACTTGTAACAACTATAAAGATATTGACATTGATTAGTACGAGATCCATTGTTTTAAGGGACTATGCCTTTTATTCCGCTGGAAAGACTCTCTTTTCTGACAATCACAAGTATTTATGTATGCACATTTTGATCTGGTGTTCATAGGAACAAATGAAGTGTTATAGTGTCATGCTTATTCATAGATTGTGTTGATTTAGAAAATTTATGCTCATTTACCTGTATTTTTGTACTGTGATGTGGAAATATTATCATGAAATTATTCTTTTGTTTGATGGAAAACATAACTAGATAATGCTTTCTATTGTAAATATCTGCTGACCAAAAAATAAACACACAGTAAATAACAAAGATTTTTTAATCGTCTATTAAGGTTGTTTGCATATGTTTTATCTAGATATTGATGCATGAGCATTTGGTATTGTTTGTAAACCTGTTAAATCATATAATACCCATGGATATCGTGAAATATATATTTGTCCAATCGAATGTCCACAGACCGTATTTTTACTTCAAACAGAAATCACCTGTTTACGAAAGTTCATGAATGACGCTGCAAACAAAAGAATTTGGCCCTATTTGTAATCAATTCGATGAATAAATATAGCCGGATATAGGAGTCTCTTGTGGCACATGGCAACATAAAACGACTATGAAGGCTAACTAACCTAGACGACAGCGACATGCAGGCAAAACCATACGTGACATCTTCAGCGAAATAGACGATGAAATTCTAAGTGTTCAGAAAGAAATACAGATTTCTTTCAAGATGTAATGACTACAATTTATTATTTAACATATATTAGTATATTTAAAGAAAAGGAACGTCTTGGTCTTTAAACATTAAGAAAGGGGCTATTATAAATGTTATTCTAACACTCTCTGAGTGTTCGGTGCTTCTTACTATGAGATTCAGGTTTATTGTGAAATTTGCTTTACCACGAAAAGAAAACGTCTGAATTTAAATGGTTCAAAACATGATATTTCAGTTGTTCTATATTGTGATAGAGTTTTCATATACTGTTATAGATGGATTGTGAAGGTTTATTTGGGCTTTTAGATAGGTTAAGACAAAATATATTTTTGGAGTGTGTATACAGTTAAAACAAAAAATTACCAAATGATATCTGTACAACAAAGGATTCCACATGCATCATGCGTGCAAAAATTCTTGCTTCTGCCGTAGTCATGAATGGAACAGAGTTTGTTCAGCAGCAGCAGCAGCAGATCACAAAAATCTAAAGGAGGGAAGATTCCGGGAAGATTTTCATTCATTTCATATACTCAAGGGATAATCCTCGATAAATCTTTAAATCTCATTGTTATTCCAATAATTGTTGAGCTCTGTCAAATGTTAAATTCGTTATCATAATATTTGAGGATTATTCATTTATTTTCCTATATTTATTTTTATCATTGTTTAATACTGACGTTTTCATAAGGTCCGATGAGACGTTTTAATAAAAAATTGATCACATTACCTTTGGAAACATGCAAACATAATTCTTTGGGTCGATTTTTAATATTTCTATAAATAAATATGGAAAGATTACAATTAAGCAAACTCTAGAAAACTCACTAGAACCTTAAAGAAAAAAGACAATTTTAGAGATTACAGTACTCGTGTTAACTGACCTGGACTCAATGCACATAACACTTGGATTGTGACCTTGTGTAGTCAAAATGGAAAGGACAAGAATAAATTGAAATTATGCCATGTACACACGAATGCGCATTAAACATTTATAACATATATAAGAACTTATGCTATTTTTAGTAATGCGCATTGCTTACTCCGCATTAACTGTCGTCTGAACTCATTCGCATTAGTTAAATTCGCATTTATTTATTTATTTATTTTACTTTGCATTAATTTACTGCGAACTAAATATTTAATGCGCATCCTTTTGAACAGGGCATAAGTAAACTAATTCGAATTAATTAGAATTTTATTTCTAAAGTAAGGCTAATATGACGTCATTTGCAAATCACGTCAACTTATGCAGAGCAGATTATACCTTTGTCATGATGTCATAAAGTGATAAAAAATACTGTAATGTTCCTTTTCTTCACTCAAAAATAACTTAAGAACTAACTTTTATCTGACCACCGATATGTGGCATATGACTTAATTTTGCTATAACGCATGCGTCGAAAATCCGTTTGATCAGGGCATAAATGCAAATGTTTGGATTTATTCGGAAAAACTGGATATTTGCTTGGAGAACTTAATCTACTTTTTGCTCTTAGTACTTATTTGATGCTTTATTTGGCGAGTCTATTGCAATAGTACGAATTCATGATATTCCATTTCAATTTCCAAGTAAAAAAAGATTGTCAATTGCCCAGGTGCGTTTTACACAATGACATGACTGATACTCAAATGCAATTTTATAAGTAACTTTCCTCCTTAACTTTATTTGAAAATGGTATTAATCGTTTTTAAAAGAAATCTGTATGGTTTTTAGGCAAGCAAACTTTAGTAATAACTTACTATGCAAGATTTTATAATTAGTTTAAGTATTTGGTATCTTCTTTTGTATTGCCAGGAATACGTGTCTTCTATGTTTTATGTATGTATTCATCATCTTACTGTCATGCTTATATGTTTCTTATTGTTAATTAATAATTAATAAAATAATATAATTTAATAAATAATTGTTAATTAAAATGTTGTTATACAGACAAAGCATCTGCACTAGCAACAATAAAGAAAATTTGCTAAAAAATAAATGCATTAATTCCATACAACTAATTTGTCACATTTATTTTTAACAGTGCAAATTCGTTTGAGGATATATTGAAACATTATAAGGTTTTGTTTTATATTAATTTAAGAAAGGAAGAAAAAAAAACATATTTGAAATATTTTTCTTATTACAGTAAGAGTAATGCAAACAGTAAATTTAAACTTGCTGCTTGTTTCCCTATCTAGGCTAGGATGAAAAGCCGGGGTTATCAATCACTAATGCCAGGTCTTAATAACATCCGATAGAATCTTCTGTCAGAGAGTGAAAAATTACTCTGAAAAACAAAGCCCCATCAAATAGAAACAATCCCAGTATTTGATACCCCATAACTTCTGGTGGCACCGTTTCTTTATATATCAGATGCTTCATTAAGTCTCAGACCTCTGACATATTAGTTATTTCTTGGTTAGTTATGATGTATGATAAGATTTCCGAGACAGAGAAAAGGGAGTCTTTGCTTAGATTTTTTGATTTATTTCTCTATTAAAGAGTTTTTAAGCATTTTTATGCATACACCGTTATGTAACGGATCATTTTGCTTGCATCAATATAAATGGAAATTAAACTGGGGAAAAAATGCTTCTTGTTGAATACAGGGGGTATCGATTTTCTTTTTATCGTGAATTCAAAAGACAAGACAAAGGAACGTTTAGTTTTACTCATTCATGTCTTTCCAGGATTAGATTGATAAGGAGAATTAAAGAATATAATTTGGACTAAATCTACATTTTTTGTTTGATTTGCAATACACAATTCAGCCTTGGGGTGATAAGCGACAACTACTTGCACTCAAATGTAATCACATCCTCATATATAATAGCGTATAAACTATAATACCCTCAATTTTTGTCTTTAAGTATTGCAATAGCGGTGATTTCCTGACAATAATTAGATATTATTACTGCTGGAAGTCCCTCATTTGAGGCTGTCCATGACAGAAAAAAATATTTTCTTCTTAATCACTTTGTACATTTTAATGATATGTATCGTTTTCCGTTGATGACGTGCATGGGATATAAGCTGAATATGCGAAATTGATCATGAATTATATCAGACCAAATGACATTCCTTACATGTAGGTCTACTAGAAGTAATTAAATAATATTTTTAGTGCAAAATTAAAATCAATTGATTAGATTTTTAAATTAAGATGCTTAAGAATTATTTACTTTAAAAAAAAAAATTAAAGCTATATTTAATCTTGTTACTGGAATGGAAAAGTCCAAGAGAAATTTAGAATATTTCTGTTGGTAGGGGTTTTAAAGATTTATTCGAATTAACGTAAACTTTGATTTTACACAAAATCATCACTGATCATCAATGATCACATAAATGAGATGCTTATGTCTACAAATATGGCGGCGGAAAATTACTTTTTTCTATTATCAATGGCTGTAACTGTATTATAAGCAGGCCAATACCTAAAGATAAAGTCTTGATACAAAGTACAGTCAAACCTCGTTATTTCGAACTCGAAGGGACTGAGAAAAACTTTGAGATACCAAGAGTAATATACTCAAGAATAAGTAGTTGGGACTTACAAATCAGTTCGACATTCCATGGTATTCGAGATATCAGTGTTTGAGAAAACGAAGTCAAGTGTATTACAGTGTTTTTTTTTTACGTCAGATTTAATAATTTAAAGTGATATGATCCGCAACTTAAAGTCAACAAAAATATATCAAACACCACTCAGCTTTGAATGTTAAGGAAAAAGTAATGTTTTGCCACTAAAATCAAATTTTGACTCTCTATTAAATAATTCTTGTAAATGCATATGTTTATAAATGTTGCCCTTATATTAAGATTAATTAAGTAATCTTTTTTGGTGTATCACAATGTAATTCCACAATAAAATATGTTCAAATCAATAAATTATGTAAAATTTGATAGGAAATTCACAAATTTATTATTTTAGTTAAACATAAAAAAAATCATTACTCTATAGC